CTTTTGCTTTCCACTTTGAATTTTTATTCTCACAAAAAATAGAAGATTTACTGTTATGCAGACTACTGCATTAGTGTAGAAATGGTATAAATAATATCAGCACACTTGTGAAAGAATACTATTAGACTCACCAGTTGACGTGTATTGGACGCTTAGCATGATTTGTTTACTTTTGAACTTTGGTAAAAATCGAACATTTCTGCTACTTTGAGCTCAATTTCAAGGTACTTTTCTTTGTAAAACCAGTCAAAATCATCTCAATTTCTGTAATATGTCTTCCATTCTATAAAATGAGACCAGGAAAACTAGAATACAACAATAAATACCATACAAAAATACAGTGCAAAGTCGCTGTTTTAACCCAAAAACACTGTCAAAGTTTTTTTTTTCTCATTACGCACTGTGTGCTGCAGGTTTTTTTTTTTATTCTGCGCACACTGACCACATAGACCCATTCTTTCATATGTAGGCCTACCAGCTTTCTCTCACTAGATTTGAGGGCGCTAGAATTTAGGAGTACTAGTACGTCAAAAACCCTGGTGCGTAAGCCGTACTAGTACATTCGAAACCCTGAAAGGGTTAAACTACTCACTCAAATTCTTCTCTCCCTATTCCCCATAGTTCTTTCTCCCTTTCCCTAGACTTCCATCTCCCTTAACCCTGACTTCCTCCTCCCTCTCCTCAGACTTCCTCCTCCCTCTCCTCAGACTTCCTCCTCCCTTTCTTCAGACTTCCTTCTCCCTTAACCCAGACTTCCATCTCCCTTTCTTCAGACTTCCTTCTCCCTCTCTTCAGACTTCCTTCTCCCTTTCTTCAGACTTCCTTCTCCCTTAACCCATACTTCCTTTTCCCTCTCTTCAGACAACCTTCTCCCTCTCTTCAAACTTCTTTTCCCCTCTCCCCAGACTTCCTCCCTTTCCTCAGGCTTCCTTTTCCCTCTTCTCAGACATCCTTTTCTTTCTCCATAATTTACTCATCCCCCCTTCTCCAGACTTCTCTCGCTTTTCCCAAAGTCTTTACCCCTTTTTTTTCCTTCACTCCCCCCCTCCCCACAAAAAAAACAAAACATTAATCATGCATTAGGCTTTGAGTTAATAAGTTGTAATGTGGTCACCTACCCAAGATTGAGAATTAGCTTGAGATATCTCAACAAGATAATCCCTGCAAGGAAATACTATCACAAGATTTTCTCGAGGGATTTCATCAGCGATTTTTTTTCATTGATCTGAATACTGATAATCATGGGAGGTGTCTTTTGTGTTGTATATTTTTACATTAGCTTTTTAACAAGTAAACGAGAGCAGTCACTGGCTCAACACTGCATGTGATTGATAAGTAATGTTGTGAGATAATCACAAATAGGGGGAAGAGAGAGTGAGAGTGATTGTGAATGAGAGTGTGAGTGTACTCAACTGTGTGTGTGTACTAACCTATGTGTGGTTGCAGTAGTTGAGTCACAGCTCCTGGCCCTGCCTTTTCACTGTGAGTGTCAATATCAGACAAAGATAGTGTCAGTCAGTCTGTGTGACAGAGAAAGAGACATGTGCAGTTATAACATATGGAATCCTTTACTAACAATCCTTCACACAGTGTGTGAAACATTGTCAGTAAAGATAAATCGTAAATCCATTATGACCTATCTTGGGTTTATAGACTATCTGGCCTTGGGGGGTATGAGAATAGATGTACCAGGATATCTTCTGGAGGAGTGGGAGGAAAAAGTTGTGTCATAGTTGGTGCCACTGATGCAACCATGTCATAGAAGTGCTGCTTGTAAAATCTTCCTATTGTAGCCTCTGTTGCTTCTACCAGAATCTGCCAGAATCATCAGGGTTATTAAAAGCAGTAAAAAGTTTTACGAGGATAGTGAGGCTCAGGTTAGAGTATGTAGGAAAGAGGGAGATTATTTCCCAGTAAAAGTAGGCCTTAGACAAGGATGTGTGATGTCACTGTGGTTGTTTAATATACATATTTATAGATGGGATTGTAAGAGAAGTGAATGCTTGGGTGTTGGCAAGAGGTGTGGGGTTAAAAGATATAGAATCTAACACAAAGAGGAAGTTGTCACAATTGCTCTTGCTGATGACACTGTGCTTTTGGGAGACTCTGAAGAGAAGTTGCAGAGATTGGTGGATGAGTTTGGTAGGGTATGAAAAAGAAGAAAATTAAAAGTGAATGTAGGAAAGAGTAAGGTGATGAGGATAAAAAAATTGGGTAACGAAAGATTAAATATCAGATTGGAGGGAGAGAGTATGGATGAGGTGAATGTATTCAGATATTTAGGAGTGGATGTGTCAGCAGATGGGTCTGTGAAAGATGAGGTGAGTCATAGAACTGACAAGGGGGAAAAGGTAAGTGGTGTACTGAGGTGTTTGTGGAGACAAAGAACTTTGTCCATGGGTGCAAAGCATGGGTGGTGAATGTTGCAACAAGGAGAAGGCTGGAGGCAGTGGAGATGTCGTGTCTGAGGGCAATGTGCAGTGTGAATATAATGCAGAAAATTCATAGTTTGAAAATTAGGAGGAAGTGCAGGATTACCAAAACAATTATCCAGAGGGCTGAGGAGGAGTTGTTGAGGTGGTTCGGACATGTAGAGAGGGTGGAACAAAATAGAATGACTTCAAGAGTATAAATCTGTAGTGGAGGGAAATGAGGGTAGAGGTTGGCCTAGGAAGGGTTGGAGGGAGGGGGTAAAGGAGATTTTGTGTGCAAAGGGCTTGAACTTCCAGCAAGCATGTGTGAGCATGTTAGATAGGAGCGAATGGAGTCAAACTGTTTTTAGGACTTGACGTGCTATTGAAGTGTGAGCAGGGTAGTAGTTATGAAGGGATTCAGGGAAACCGGCAGGCCAGACTTGAGTCCTGAAGATGAGTACAGTGCCTGCACTCTGAAGGAGGAGTGTTAATGTTGCAAGACAGTGGTGGAGTGAATGATGGTGAAAGTTTTTCGTTTTGGGGCTACCCTGCCTTGGTGGAAAACGGCCAATGTGTTATTTAAAAATATATAATTACACGTCTCTTGTCAGTGACAGTCACTTATTGCAGTCCCTGATGAAATGCCAAGGATGAAGTAGTTTGGTGAAAATTTGTTTCAGAAAAGAACATTCTTCAAGAAATTCATTACTTCAGATACCTAGAGCTCTTAAGAAAAAACTGACAGTGCCCTGTTCAGTGTTTGTGGGGTGTGAATGGTAGTGGAGAGAATAAAAGGTCACAAAACCATGATTGTAACAATACACAAATAACCTGCACATACAGAAACTTATGATGATGTTTTGGTCCAACTTGGACTGCTAGCTAGTCACACAGAAGCATGAAGGGAATGGGACCAGTATAGATATATATATGGGAGGAGGGTGGTAACGGGAGAATGCAGGGGGTAATAAAAACATCGTCACATGTTATTTGTGAATAGTAGTGGAGAGGATTGGTGGGCTTACATAAACTTTAAATTGAAGCTCACTGCCAGACTTGCAGAGCAGAGTATTGTTGGTTTCATCCTTGACTGTAAATTGAATGGGAGATTTGATCTGGTTAAACTTGTGTTGAAGGATAGATGTTAAATCTTATTGGAGTTATAATGAGTGTATTGTCCATATAGCAAAGCCACGTAATGGAAGAAATGATAGAGTAGAAACATTTGGCTTCAAGATGTTCCATATTAAAGTTGGCCTGCATAACTCTTAGTGGGGACACCAATAGGTAAACTGATCTGGTGGAAATTGAAGTCTTTAGATTATTTACCCAGTAGGCATAATAACCCAGGATAATCCAAGAAAATCAATTATTGTGGCTTATTTCCATCGGGACCCTTAGGGTCTCTATCTTGAGGATGGTACTCTCAACAGGCAACCATCTATGCACTCTTAAGTGAACATAAACAGCAGGTGTAAGGATACTTGCCGATACATCTCGCCTCATGCACTGAAAGTATCAATGTACAGATGCTCATCGACTTACGATGGGGTTACATTCTGACAAACCCATCGTAAGTCGAATACGAATATGATATGCTAAATAAATAAATACTGTCACTGAATAAACAAACAATTTCTGTAACTAATTAAATACCAGTATCGAAAAATAAATAAATGAATACAAGTTACTGACTTGTAACCTTCATGGTAGGTAGTTATCTTAAGTTTCATCTCCAAAGTACAGCAGTTGCTTTTGCACCATTGTAAAGTTGAAATATCTTAAGCTGAGGAGCACCTGTAAATGTAATAATAATAAAAACACTGCCCATTATTTTTAGCCATGACTGCAGTAATGTTGTATGGCTGATTAGTAAAGGCTATGAGAGTAGCCAGAAATACCAAAAATCCATCCACCTGATCCACCATGAGGCCTGGTTACAGACCAGGCTGCGGGGGCATTGACCCCCGAAACCCTCTCCAGGTATACCATTTGTTGAAACCAGCAGTCCTACTGCAGGCCTACCTTTCTGCTGTAAATTAAAATTTACAGTCCTTGAGAAATGTTTAAAAGTCATGAGTTCTGGAAGAAAGCAGGCATGATAAGTCATGGTTGACTTCCTTTATTGTACTGTATTCATTTGAAACAAAACACACTTATTAAACTACGCCTTTATGGGCTTTTCAGTTCTTTATACAGCCTCTCACTTAGCAACACACTCGTTTACTGACAACTCAGACTTACAACGGGCTCTCTGACCAGTGTGCATATCTAAATAATGTATATTAAAGCTGATTTCCTCTATTCTTTTTATTACAATATGCAGTACACTACTGTATAAACATTGAAAAATATACTAAAAATGTTATAAATGGTGCAAAGGTGACATTAGAACAATATTAAAGATGGTTAACACAGACCCACTACCATTATAGTATGCTCCTCACTTGGCAATGAATTCGTTTACCAATGTGTTCTTAGGTACAGAACTCTGTCATTAAGTGTGGAAAGGCTGTATAGTGTCTTGAAAATAAAAAAATTATGATGATGTAATTATAATTCTTATGTATGTTCTCACCTTTTCAGGTTTTACTGAAGTTCCACCCAACATTTCACAGCGAGTACCATGGGGAAGACTATTCTGTACGATTCAACTTCAATCGCACTCCACTACGTCGCTGCCATCTTGCTTTGGACTTCACTATGAAGCAGCTTGGTCCAGATATCCTTTTTCCTTCCAAATTAAAAATTCAGCTTCCCCAGGTATGTTATATAGACCCTGAAGTCCCCACATCAGCTAGCAGTGCAAAAAAGACACCACACAGAGTCGCTGCTACCAGCTACAATTCCAATACTCAAGTCAGCAGATCAGAAAGTAATGAAACTGGCATTGGTGCAGAAGTGAGTGTCAAACACAGATCTAAGATTGGGACAGGCACTGTCAAAACAGATTACCATTCTAATGAGTTTACCACCAAAAACAAATTACCTTGTGATTTGCTTGTAGGAAGTAATTCAGTTAATAATACAATGAGCGATGTGTTGGAGATTCAGAAAAATGATGCCAGTCAGAAGTTAGCCTTTGATGTGAGTGAGGAAGCAGACCGTGATCTCATCTGGGAGAAGAGTAATAATATAAAAAAAACTCGGTTTATAATGAAAGGTGAATTAAGAGAACTAAGTCAGTTGCTAAATGAACAGCAGAATGGGGTTAACTATTATACAAAAAAGGAATTACAGAAATTCAAAAACACAGAAAATTGTAATGATAGATCTAATTTTTTAGAACATTTTTGTAAACAGGAGTCAAGTCCACAATCTTCAAGAATTCCTGTAGTAACAAGGTTATTCGGAGTTTCTTCCTCAGGCTCCAGTTCAAATTCATCCATGTGTTGTAGTGACGATGAATCTAGGGGCAGTGTCAATTCTAGTGTTGATAATACTGTGGCTAGTGCTAGTGATAATCTGAGTGCTAGTGTTGGCTTAGAGAAAGATGCTTTTCATTTTAAAAAGGTTGAGAAAATTAAACTGAAAAATAATAGCACCTCTTCAAGAAATGCCATTGACAGTGAGAGTAAAACCAGTTTAAATAGTGAAGCATGTTTCATAAGTAATAAACCCAAATTTTGTTCATTACCCACTGTTACTGCAGTTGAAACTCCCTTTTCTTCTTCTAAAGAGATGATGGAGATCCTCAAAGGGGAACAGTCAAAATTGAAAGCTACTCCATTAATGGAACACAGTCATAGAGCAGAATCAGTGTCACCAGTAACCATACCACTGCATAAAGTAAATGGAATACCAAAAGATGCTTCTAGCGGGAAGAAAATATTGTTTCTTCCAAGGCCTCTGGAGCTACACTATCACCGAATTGCCAGATTAATGAAGGAAGGAGGGGATTGTAAAAATAATCAAACATGTAGGCCTACAGTACCAGAAGAAAAAGTTGTAATGACAGACCAGATCACTAAATTAAGGAAGGAAGTAAAATGTTTAACGAATCAGACATGTAGACCTTCATTAACAGAAGAGAAAGTACTGAGGACTGATCATGTTGCCAGTTTAATGAAGGAAGGAGAGGATTGTAAAAAAAATCAAACCTTTCGGCCTAAATTACCACAGGAAAAAGTGCTGACAACTAACCGAATTGCTGCATTAATGACAGGAGGACAAATTTGCAAAAATCGGACCTACAGACCTACGTTACCAGAAGAGCTGAGAACTGACCATGAAAACCCATGTAGTGCAAATGATAAACAGTGTCCTAGAAAAAGTGATGTTGGAAGATCTCATGTGCCACTTAGCAATCATCTTAATGAATTAAAGCCAACAGTATATTGTGAACCCCATCATGGTGAACAAAACCATGAAAGTTATGGTTCAGCCAAGGAGGAAAACTGTTACATTGTTCCTGTCTTGCCAGTTTTCACAATGAGGAACAAAGGTAATTTGTTTGGTATTATTATTATTATTACCAAGCACTAAACCCATAAGAGTCAATTTGTACAGTAATTAACTTTTTATTAATAATCAAGAAGAGATACTTTGTAAAATTTGAATTACAGTATCTTATTTTGCAGATCTTTCTTTGAATACAAGCTCAAATTCAAAATTCAGATTCAAAATTTTATTTCTTTTTCACACTGTACAAGAATAATGTAGTTTACGTGTAAGAAAACATTGTTAGGCACAAAAGAAAGCCACAAGTATCCAGTGTATTTCAGGCAGACTAGTCCTAGTACTTAAAGACTACCTAGGAATTAGACGGACTATTAAGTAGATTTTAATTTATATTTCTCTATACATGAAGTAATACTCAGTCATTATTGCATTATTCTCTTTGTTGATACAAGAAAAGGAAATTAGTTTAACTACCAAAATAAGTAAGTGGAATGCCATGAAAATTCATCACTTGTGTTCATTTCTTACCCTTCCTCTTAAAAACATACAGCATTTTATTGCTACTAAGACAGTTAGATGGGTGACCGTTGAACATGCCTTAAACAGTGATTATCTGACTTGGATTTTTCTGGTGCACACAGTGGGTTCCTATATCCTGTTCGCCTGTCAAAACTTTTTTTGTTTCCCTTATCTTATACAGTGGACCCTCAACCAGCGATATTAATCCGTTCCTGAGAGCTCATCGTTAATCGAAATAATCGTTAGTCAAGTTAATTTTCCCCATAAGAAATAATGGAAATCAAATTAATCGTGCAAGACACCCCAAAGTATTGAAAAAAACAAAATTTTACCACATGAAATATTAATTTTAATACACACAAACTGAAGAAGACATGCACAGTTACATGACACTTACCTTTATTGAAGATCTGGTGATGATTGATGGAATGGGAGGAGGGGAGACCGTTGATCTTCTTAGTGTTTAGAAGGGGAATCCCCTTCCATTAGCACTTGAGGTAGCAAGTCTTTTTCTGGGGTTACTTCCCTTGTTCTTTTAATGCCACTAGGACCAGCTTCAGAGTCACTGGACTTCTGTCACACAACATATCTGTCCATACATACCTGTACCTCTTGTTCCTTTATGAGTTTCCTAAAGTGGTTCACAACATTGTCAGTGTACAGGTTGCCAACACGGCTTGCAGTAGCTGTGTCAGGGTGATTTTCATCTAAAAAGGTTTGCACTTCAAGCCACTTTGCACACATTTCCTTAATCTTAGAAGTAGGCAACTTCTTCAATTTCTCTATCCCCTCCCCCGAAGCAGTTTCCTCAGGTCTGCCCTCTTGCTGTTCAAGATGATCTAGCAGCTCATCAGTGGTTAGTTCTTCATTGTCCTCCTCCACCAGCTCTTCCACATCCTCCCCACTAACCTCCAACCCCAAGGACTTCCCCAATGCCACAATTGATTCCTCAACTGGCATACGCTTCTCAGGGTTAGCCTCAAACCCTTCACAATCCCTTTTGTCTACACATTCTGGCCACAGTTTTTTCCAAGCAGAGTTCAAGGTCCTCTTAGTGACTTAGTCACTTCCTCCCAAGCCTTACCTATAATGTTTATACAATTGAGGATGGTAAAATGATCTTTCCAAAACTCTCGTAGAGTCAGTCGAGTTTCTGAGGTCACTACAAAGCACCTTTCAAACATAGCTTTTGTGTACAGCTTCTTGAAGTTGGAAATAACCTGCTGGTCCATGGGCTGCAGGAGAGGTGTGGTATTAGGAGGCTCATGTCCATAGAAAGTCGCTCTGCCAAGTCTGAAGGATGACCAGGAGCATTGTCTAATACCAGGAGGCACTTAAGGTCTAGTTTCTTTTCAATTAGGTAATTTTTCACATTGGGGGCAAATGCATGGTGTAACCAGTCATAGAAAAAGTCCTAGTGACCCATGCCTTACTGTTTGCCCTCCATAGCACACACAAATTAGCCTTGACGACATTGTTTTTCCTGAACACACTGGGAGTTTCAGAGTGATACACCAATAAAGGCTTCACTTTGCAATCACCACTAGCATTGGCACACATCAACAGAGTAAGCCTGTCTTTCATAGGCTTATGTCCTGGGAGTGCCTTTTCCTCCTGAGTAATGTACGTCCTGCTTGGCATTTTCTTCCAAAACAGGCCTGTTTCGTCACAATTAAACACTTGTTCAGGTTTCAGTCCTTCACTGTCTATGTACTCCTTGAATTCTTGCACATATTTTTCAGCCGCTTTGTGGTCCGAACTGGCAGCCTCACCATGCCTTATCACACTATGAGTGCCACTACGCTTCTTAAATCTCTCAAACCAACCTTTGCTGGCCTTAAATTCACTCACATCACTAGTTGCTGGCATTTTTTTAATTAAATCATCATGCAACTTCCTAGCCTTTTCACATATGATCGCTTGAGAGATGCTATCTCCTGCTATCTGTTTCTCGTTTATCCACACCAATAAGAGTATCTCAACATCATCTACCGCTTGCGATCTCAGTTTCAAAAACATAGTTGCACCTTTGGCAAGAACAGCTTCCTTGATTGCCGTTTTCTTGCCCACAATAGTAGTGATGGTTGATTGGGGTTTATTATACAACCTGACCAGCTCAGAGACAAGCACTCCACTTTCATATTTAGCAATGATCTCTTTCTTCATCTCCATAGTAATTCTCACCCTTTTTGCTGTAGGGTTGGCACTAGAAGCTTTCTTGGGGCCCATGGTGACTTATTTTGCAGGTGCAATCACTAAAAAGGCTGTGATAATATGAAATGTTCCAGTTGTATGTTTGGAAGCGACCGCGGTGGCTGGCTTGTAAACACTGGCACCCACGGGACAAGTGAGGCACGCTCCAGCCAAAGTGGACGCGTCTCGTACGGAACGAATAGCACTGGTCGGATTTTTAAGCGCTAGTCGAGGCAAAATTTTTGCGTTAAAATGTATCACTAGTCAGATTTATCGTTAATCGATGCCATCGCTGGTTGAGGGTCCACTGTACAGTGAAACCTTGGGTATACGACCGTAATTCATTCCAAAACACTGTTTGAGTGCTGCTCCATTTGAGTATCGAACAAGTTCTTCCCAACCAGTTTTCTGTTTGATTGGCTGTTATCACTAATATTCATAGGCCCCATGGTGACTTCTACAAATTATACAAAAACCACCAAAAAATGCGAAGAAACGTGAAGTAGTTTACAGCGAAGTTCTGGCAGGTCATATTTGTTTGGTCGAGTGCTGAGCTTTGTTCAAGTAGGGGGCGGGTCGTATACCAAGGTTCCACTGTATTTTAATGCATTGGGATTTTGTATGTTATAACTGGTTAATTTTTATTATAGAGGTTGGTCTACTCCAACTTAACGTAAGTGACAATTTGAGAAATTTTTGCAGCTATACGTGAGAAATCCACATAGAACTTGCATAATCTACAAAATTATTCACTCGAAAAATATATTATCACCTAAGAATTTGCAGAATCCAGGAAGTTATTTACCCAAAAGCAAATCAGTATCATGTTTAGTACAGGAGCTGATTATCTAGTGTGTATTGCAGTATTACAAACCATCAGTGTTTTGCATAATAAGGGGGCTTTCTATGAAGTAGTAATATAGTCATCCTAAATGTATAATATACTCTACTCCACTCTATAGAAATTTTATTAGATCAACTACACATTTTAAGATTAAACTTTTTTCAGAAACTTGTTTTGTTTAACCCTTTCAGGGTCTAGAGGCCAAATTTCAAAGTGCACACCATTGTCCAAGAATTTTCAAAAAATAATTTTGTTATTTTTTCTTATGAAATAGTAGAGAATTTTTTTCTGAAGGTAATAAAACAAAAAGTCTGAAATTTGATGGAAAATTGCCGAAATTATGCTCTCGCAAATTTTGATGTGTCAGTGATATTTACACATCGGCGATTTTGCCGACTTTGACTCCCATTTTAGGTCAATTACCTTATTCCAGTCGACCAAATTCTTAGCTATTTCACTAGTATTACTTCTATTCTATTGACTGAGCACATAAAATCGCCAGCTCAACTGATTCAACTACAAAATAAAGTGATTGGAAATTGGCAATTTGGCCAATTTAGTGCAAAGTTCAAAATAGTATTACAATTTCAAAATAGGGTCCAGAATAAACAATGCAGACATTCCTGGCACTAAACTAACATTTCCTCTGTGCATTAGTTACGTTTTGAGGCTTTACAAATGAATTTCATTTTGATTTTTAATTTACATAATGAATTTTATTCAAACCAAAAAATAGAAGATTTACTGTCATGCAATATTGTAATAACTGTATAAGTAATATCAGCACATTTGTGAATGTATATTAGACCCACCAGCTGGCGTGTATTAGACGTGTGAGGTCATTTGTTTACTCTTGACCATCAGCCAAAATTTAACATTTCCACTACATTGAGCTTAGTTTCAAGCCATTTTCAGTACTAAAACCAATCAAAATCATCTCTATTTCTGTAATATTTCTTCCATTCTATCAAATGAGACCAAGAAATCACAAATACAACTATAAAAAACATACAAAAAAACACTGCAAAGTTGCTGTTTTAATCGAAAATTACAGTCTTGGTTTTTTTCTCTCATTATGCACTGTGTGCTGCAAGATTTGTTTTATGTGGTGCACACATACCACATAGATGTATCTCTCATATCTAGGCCCAAATTTACCGCTTACAGCTTATCAGAGTGAGCTGAAGCTCATGGTGTAGATCTACGGTTTGGACCCTCAACGTTAAGCCGTAGATCTACGACATGGACCCTGAAAGGGTTAAAACTCTAAACTGTTATTTAAAACAAAATAATGCAGTACAACTATCACTGGAGTGCATTTTTAAAAATTAGCTTTTTGAGAATTATGGCACCATAGAATAAGAATATTTGTATCTTGTGGATACTGTAATGCAATATTCTTTGAAGTTATGTATTATTACCACTCTTGTTTTGATAAGAAATTGATGATTAGGAAAAAATTTATAACAATTTTTAATAAAAAAAAGATAAAGCTCTCCAAATTAATCTATTAAATACTAAAATGTGTCATTTCAGGTGTAAAAAACTTGGCTAAGCTTCCTTTATTGAAATGGTTCAATGACAGCTTGAACGTGGAGCAGAAACTAGCAGTTCGTAGAGTGCTGGATGGAACCACCCGTCCACTGCCCTACATCATCTTCGGTCCACCAGGCACAGGGAAGACAGTGACACTGGTGGAGACTGCACTCCAGATTCTCACCATGATGCAACACACCAGGTACTATAATAATAAACAAAGATTTATTTCAGCATAATACAGTGTTTGTACAGAGATTGGTGACATTTAACTGTGCATGCAGAAAGCCCATGATCTTAATTAAGATAAGCTTAAGTTTGCCTTAAATGCTCTGAATACTAAGAGGTTCCTGCATGCACACCTAAATGTCACCCACCTCTGTACAAATATTGTATCAGGCTGAAATAAAGAATCTAATAATCTAATTATGTAGAGCATTTTGGGCATGCTTAATCCTGACTTAAGTTTACAATGACAACAGCTATTATTTGCTTATATTTAAGGACATTAAGGGTATACAAACAACAAATTTAGGCATTAATACCCAGATTTGGTGGGAAAAAAGCCAGCTATTTTACAGTACATAGCTGATAAAAGAATTCTGAAAAACAGTAAAAAATATACTGTAAAAAGAAGTATTAAAACAATTTTTATTAGAAAGTAACTAAAACAAAAGAAGGAAAGGAGGATAATAAAGTTGGAATGAAGGAAGGAAGACATGCAAATCTTACAAATTTCTTCTTCTATTTGGTAACACTTATCAATGTATTTGTGTGTTTCTAGTAGTAAATATTCCTCTCTAATTTATGAAGTTGAGATTAAGTCATGAAAGATGCAGTCATTGGAACCATTAACAGATATATGTGTGAAAAGTTCAAGGCTCCCTTCCCTTCGCACTTGTGTGTGAGTAATTAATGATCAGAATCGGACCCAGATGTCACCATAAGTTTCTCTCTCCTGTGTGCAGGTTATTTGTGTATTGTTCCAGTCACTGCATTGTACCTATTTATTCTTCAAAGCAGAAGATTGTGGAAGTATATTAAGGAAGGCCAGCATCCAGAAGACTGATGCTGATTTATAACAATGAGGAACTTAGCTGAGGAGACTCAGATTGAAGATACTCACAAATGCAGTATAATGTGAACCTTTATTGATTGTTTTTCCCACACAGTGGGCCTTATCAAGTCACAAACATCTGTTTGTGACTTGATAAAGCTCACTGTGTGGGAAAAACATGGTAAAGGATTGCATTGTATTGCATTCGTCTCTGCTTTTCCATCTTGTCGGTATTTTATACCATTTATCTCCATTGAGGATATTCATAAAAACTTTTAACACTAGGTTTACATGTGCCAATTTACCAGTATACAAACCAAAAGGGATATTTAATTTTGTGTAAATAAATATTTTATTGATAAATGTAAGTGTTGGTAATTTTTATGTTTTAACCCTTTGAGGGTCGACAGGCCATCTCAGAAACTCATTCTCAGGGTCGGCCAAATTTATAAAAAAAAAAAATATTTTTCTTATGAAAAGATAGAGAATCTTTTCCCGATCATAATGACACCAAAATTATGAGATTGATGGAAAACTTACAGAATTATGCTCTCACGAAGTTAGCAGTCTCGGCGATGTTTACAGATCGGCAATTTTGCCCACTTTGAGCCCCATTTTCGGCCAATTCCACTGTACTAATCGACAAAAAACATGAATACAGTGGACCCCCGCTTAACGATCACCTCCCAATGCGACCAATTATGTAAGCGTATTTATGTAAGTGCGTTTGTACGTGTATGTTTGGGGGTCCGAAATGGACTAATCTACTTCACAATATTCCTTATGGGAACAAATTCAGTCAGTACTGGCACCTGAACATACTTCTGGAATGAAAAAATATCGTTAACCAGGGGTCCACTGTATTTCGATAGAACTACATTTTTTCTATTGAATAAGTGCAAGAAACCACCCATTTACCATTTTCAACTATCCAATACAGTGGTCAGAATTTAGCAATTTTGCCAATTTCACACAAATTTCGAAAAATGCCAATTTCCGAATAGGGTCCAGAACAAACAAGAAATACATTCCTGGCACTAAAATGACATTTCCTCTGTTCATTAGTCACGTCTCAAGGCCCCTCTTACATTCTTTTGCTTTCCACTTTGAATTTTTATTCTCACACAAAATAGAAGATTTACTGTTATGCAGACTACTGCATTAGTGTAAAAAATGATATAAATCATATTGGCGCACTTGCAAAAGAATATTAGACTCACCAGTTGACGTGTATTGGACGCTTGGCATGATTTGTTTACTTTTGAACTTTGGTAAAAATCGAACATTTCTGCTAGTTTGAGCTCAATTTCAAGGTACTTTTCATTGTAAAACCAGTCAAAATCATCTCAATTTCTGTGACATGCCTTCCATTCTATAAAATGAGACCAAGAAAACTAGAATACAACAATAAATACCATACGAAAATACAGTGCAAAGTCGCTGTTTTATTCCAAAAAAACGGTCAAAGTTTTTTTTTTCTCATTATGCACTGTGTGCTGCAGGATTTTTTTTATACCATGCACACTGACCATATAGACCCATTCTTTCATATGGAGGCCTACCAGCCTTTTCCCGCGAGATTTGACGGCGCTAGAATTTATGCGTACTAGTACGTCAAAAACCCCTGCGCGTAAGACGTACTAGTACGTCAAAAACCCTCAAAGGGTTAACTAGATACAGTTAGGATAAATTAAATTGTATAAGAACCTAAATAATGATGTAGTTGTACTCTTAATACAGTTTTGTTTCTTCAATTTCCAGACTTTTAATAATAACACCTTCCAATAGTGCATCGGACCTTGTAATGGAGAGATTACTTACTTATGGCCATTTGAGCAAGATGGATTTGGTTCGGTTAAATGCCTATCAGGTGAGAAGAAGAACATTCACATGAAGATTATTTGAATGAAATATCTGACTTATTTTACTATAAAAACATACTTTACAGAAACCTATAGAAAAACATTTTTGTATTTCAGAGACTGGAAGACACCATTCCTGACACCATCCGTCCATATTGTTGCAGTGGTGATCAGCTATCTGTACGTGTACATCAGCGGATCATAGTGACTACAGCAACTACTGCTGGTGTAATGTATACACTCGGTCTTCATAATGGCCACTTCAGTCATGTGCTGGTGGATGAAGCCGGACAGTTAACTGAACCAGAGTGCTTAGTTGCTCTAGGGTAAGCTCTAGTCACCATACCTTTTCAATATTTAGACCACAAAGAATGATAGCTTTTTTTTTAACACATCGGCATTTCCGACGAAGGCAGGGTGACCCGAAAAAGAAGAAACAATTTCATCATTATTCACTCCATCACTGTCTTGCTGGAGGGATGCCTACACTACAGTTAAAAAATTGCAACATATCAACACCCCTCCTTGAGAGTGCAGGCACTGTACTTCCGACCTCTTACAGGAGTTTTTTATTACTGTCTAGTGTTGAAACACCTCTCTAAGCTTAGGTTGAGACCTATGAGCAATATAACTTGGCCATCAAAACTCAAGTAATTTTTTGAGATGGTTGGGGGAAGGAATAGCATTTTCAATGCCATAAATTACAGTATGTTCTGCACATCCCAAACCAGGTGAGATGAGACTTCACTAGTTTTAAGCAACGATTGTTTTTCCCATACAGTAAATTCTGAGATGTAATTCTTGGTTGGTAAATGTAGTACAGTGGTACCCCGAGTTTCGAACTTAATCCATTCCAGGAGCTAGTTCTAAAGTCGAAACGTTTGAAACTCGAAGCAATATTTCCCATAAGAAATAATGTAAATCCAATTAATCCGTTCCAGACCCACAAAAATATTCACAAAAAATTTATTTTTTAAAGAATAACTATAGTTTTACATACACAAAACAATTATAAATACATATAGTACTTAAATGAGTAATGAAATAGATAAATAAACATTTAAATAAACATTTAAAATCACATTTATATACCTTTATTGAAGACTTGTTGAGATCTGGAAGATAGGGAGGACTTATTATTGCCTCCACCACTGCCTCAACCACTGCCTCCACCCCTGCCTCAACCACTGTCTCCACCCCTGCCTCAACCACTGCCTCCACCATTGCCTCCACCACTGCCTCCACCACTGCCTCCACCACTGCCTCCACCACTGCCTCCACCACTGCCTCCACCACTGCCTCCACCACTGCCTCAGCCACCACCTCCACCACTGCCTCAACCACTGCCTCCACCACTGCAGTGCACTGCCTCGTATTTTTGTACAATTTCTTTCTTCACTTCTATGGCGTTTCTCACTTTCTTTACCAAAGGACTGCCACTAGGAAGTTTCTTTGGGCCCATGGTGGCTTATTTCACAAGTCACAATCAATAAACAAGCACTAAACACAATGAATTTATTGTGAAATGTGTGGATGAGTGCGCAGGGTAATGTTCACTCAAGGATAAACAAAGCTAGACTGGCTCACGATGCCTGCGCGGGCAGGCGGACAGGTCTGGTATGCGGTTCGAAACACGGGGCACGTTCAATACTCGAGACAAAATTGGTGCGAAAAAAGCTGTCGAAACTCGAAGCGTTCGATAGTCAATGTGCTCAAAACTCGAGGTTCCACTGTATATTGTATGGCAGATCCATAAATGCTACCTACATGTTATACCCAATGCCTGCTGCACACTGCCCATTATTTTGCATCATATAACTAATTGTTAAATGTAATTTCTGCAGATAATTTGTAAATTTTAGTGCTTTAGGATGTAAGAATAGTTTTTTGAATGGTCCAAAATAGACAATAGTGATACTCCAGTTTTATTAAAAATATATTGGATGTTTTTGCCACTAATAGTATTTTTGCATCTTTATTTAATGTCACATTTGATAGATTAAGATTCACATGATGTGAGTGCTGTGTACAGAATATTACATAATAATTTTTTTTTTTTTCAACATTACTGGTTATCTCCCATCAAAGCAGGATGACTCAAAAAGCAAAACCTTATAAATCTTTCCTTCTTTTTACATTTAATAATAAACATATTTCATAAAATTTGTCAAGAGGATATACAATGAACTGTGTAAAGTTGGGATGCATTGATGATTATTCTTGTTTCAAGATTGGTGAACTGTTCATCTGGTCAAGTGGTTCTTGCTGGTGACCCAGAACAACTTGGTCCTGTAGTACAAAGCAGCTTAGCCAAGAGATATGGTCTACAGCATTCACTCTTACAACGTCTGTGTTACTCTGTTCTCTATCAGGTACTACATCACACTACTGTAACTTAGATAAATGGTTCGGAGAACCGACAAGTTGATAAATAAGACACGTGCAAAACTTGGTACCTTATTAAGCAAATGTTTTTCCACATAGTGGCTTCATTAGTCCTATACAAAAAAGAATGGTAAAGATCAGAAGGAATTTGAAATAATCAGTCCCCTCACCTTGGAGTCAGCTCCAGGCTGAGGGAATTGATTATCTCATACTCCTGATCTTCACCATTCTTCTTTGTATTGGACTGATGAAGCCACTGTGTGGCAAAACATTTCCACAATGAAGATACCCAAGTGTTGCACATGTGTCTAATTCATCACCACTGTTACTGTAGTCTGTGCACTTGCAATAAGTGGCTAGTAGTTAGTTATATTAAATGTTGCAATCTCGATTGAGCCGTAATAGTTGGACCAAAGAAGTAATTCCTGTTATTTCTACTTGTGAACCTTCCTTGAAAGAATTAGTTTCATCTGTTGTGCACTTGCTCTACTGTACTATTTTTTTTTTTTAACATGACAGCTGTTTCCCACCAATGCAGGGTGACCCAAAAATGAAACACACTCACCATCATTCACACTATCACTATCTTGCCAGAGGCGCACAGATACAGCAGTTTAGATATGTCTCTAAACAGCATATATCCCAAGCCCTTCCTGTAGAGTGCAGGCAATGTACTTCCCACCTCCCCACAACTTATAATAGTAGTAAAAATTATTCTTATAGAATTACAACCTTGATTTCTTAAAAATATTATTTTCCCTCTATTTATCAAATTACTTTTCTTGTAGTTTCTTTAAACTATATTTGCATTAATAGATATCTGAAAAATGATTGGTGGAGTTGCTACTTTAGTCATAGCCAAACATAGCAGCATTCACCAAATCTAGATGTACAGTCACATGTGGCACATTTACAGTACAGGCCCTGCTTATACAGCAGGTTAGGTTCTGGTCTACTGATGTAAACCAAAAATCACTGTAAAGTAAAACAGCTTCTTTCACCTTCAAATGGATATAAAAGCCTGATAACATGTTTACACTATCATATATTAAGTGAGCAGTAGAGCTAGGCCTAAAAAATGCATGTACAGTACACACATTACTTTTTTTTTTCAACAAACCGGCTGTATCCCACCAAGGCAGGGTGGCCCAAAAAGAAAAACAAAAATTTCTCTTTTTAAATTTAGTAATTTATACAGGAGAAGGGGTTACTAGCCCCTTGCTCCCGGCATTTTAGTCGCCTCTTACAACATGCATGGCTTACAGAGGAAGAATTCTGTTCCACTTCTCCATGGAGATAAGAGGAAATAAACAAGAATAAGAACTAGAAAGAAAATAGGAGAAAACCCAGAGGGGTGTGTATATATATGCTTGTACATGTATGTGTAGTGTGACCTAAGTGTAAGTAGAAGTAGCAAGACATACCTGAAATCTTGCATGTTTATGAGACAGAAAAAAGACACCAGCAATACTACCATCATGCAAAACAATTACAGGGTTTCATTTTACACTCACTTGGCAGGACAGTAGTACCTCCCTGAGCAGTTGCTGTCTACCAACCAACTACCTAGACACATTACTTACCTTAAAATATTTTCATACTTAGCTTATAGTGAATGGTGAATATATTTATTGTAGGAAGTCCGAATAAATAAAGAATATGTTTAATTGAAAACCACTGCATCAACAAAGTGCTACACAGTGAAATGCTGTAAAGAAGGTCCTGCTTGTATTATTGTATCTACAGGGAAGCTCTAAGCCTGTAGGAGTCACATAAATTCTTACAATTCTTAAAAAATGAAAACACTTTCACCATCATTCACACTGTCAATATGACAATTCAGATGTCACTCCAAACAGCCAATATCCCAAACCCCTCCTTTACAGTGCAGGCATTGTACTTCCCACCTCCAGGACTCAAATCCAGCTAACCGGTTTCCCTGAATCTCTTCACAAGATATTACCCTCCTGACACTCCAACAGTTCGTCAAGTCCCAAAAGCCATTCATCACCATTCACTCTTATCTAACACACTCGCATGTCTTCTGTATATCCAAGCCCCTTGCACATAAAACCTCTTTCACCCCCTCCCTGCATCCTTTCCTGGGACTTCTCCTACCCCCTCCTTTCCTCCACTACAGATTTACACACACACTGAGTCATCCTATTTTGCTCCATCCTCTCTAAATGACTAAACCCCCGCTACATCCACTCCTCAGCCCTCTGAGGAGTGGATGTAGAGTGCTTTTAGTAACCCCACACCTCCTAATTTCCACTTCACGAATTCTCTGCATAATATTTACATCTCACATTGCCCTTAGACACGACATCTCCATTGCCTCCAGCCGCCTCCTCTCTGCAACATTCACAACCCATGCTTTACACCCATATACAAGTATTGGTAATCTTTCTTTCTTCTTTCAACAAACTGGCCGTATCCCACCGAGGCAGGGTGGCCCAAAAAGAAAAACAAAAGTTTCTCTTTAAATTTAGTAATTTATACAGGAGAAGGGGTTACTAGCCCCCTTGCTCCCGGCATTTTAGTCGCCTCTTACAACACGCATGGCTTACGGAGGAAGAAGTCTGTTCCACTTCCCCATGGAGAATATATATATACATGTATATATTTTTTTTTTTTTTTTTCAACAAGTCGGCCGTCTCCCACCGAGGCAGATAATAATTATTGCAATTGTAGTCTTAAGTTAGCCTAAAGCTTGCCAAAAATGCTCTGCATAACCATGGGCTTTCTGCATGCACAACCAAATGTCACTCATCTTTGTACAGACATTGTATCATGTGGAAATAAATATCTTTATCTTTGAAAACTTAGGATCATCAGTGTTCTGAGGTGGGGTGATACAGTATCAGCAAAATAGCATCTCATATCTGCTGTAACTTCTCTCCAGATAGCAGGAACACTTTCAGTGTCTGATGTTAGCTTTGCAATCTTTGATTTTTTCTTCTTCAAAGGGAACATTAATCTCCACTCAAAGAAGGTTCATTAACACTGGTGAGGGACTCTTGAGGCAGGGAATTGGGCCTGTCTGCCTTTCCTGAGATCAAACCTGATTGCTTCTCATTCTCACCATAGGCACCTGACTGTATATATTAGGTACAAGGAAAATATTTGAAGTCTATGGGCCTAATCTGCACACTACTGTAACAACTAACTGGAGTGAAAAATGCAGGAAGATGAGTAATATAAACCCAGTGTAAAGCAGGTTTGTCATAAGCATAGTTAGAGAACAGTGTGTCAGCATCTTTGCTTCTCCCATAAATGCAATAACATAATAATAAGATTACAGGTACAACATCGATTTTCTGGACCTTTGGTTCCGAAACCTTTCCGGATTACTGATTTTTCTGCCTTTAGAGAGTGCAGTATTCCTTGGTCTTGGGTTAGATAAGTGACATACAGTTTGGTTGTAAATACACTGCCGCAGGAATTTCAAGTTCCTGCTCGTAAATTTGTATGGTTCCAGACCTGTACTTCACTTAATCTGCCAACATTTTCACAAGTTTCACTATTATCCTGATTCATCTTTATCCTTAATGGTGATGAGCCCACTGGTATTTGATGGTGACTTTAACCCCTAAACGGTCCAAACGTATATATGCGTTCTTACCGCTAGCGCCCCTAACATATATATACGTTTTATTTTTCCTGCCTCCAAATTTGGCACGATTGGCCTGAGATGCCTAGTCAGCATAGAATGGGTCTTAACACTCGGTGTGCACCATATTAAAAAATCTGGGACCACTTAGTACCTTGTGGGAGCGCCAGTTAAATTGAGCACCAGCTAGAGCAAACAGTGCGGCAAACACCAAGGATTCATTGATGTAATGTCATATTAACACTCCCCTTTTAAAAGGAAAGTGATGTTAACCCCAAGTTTAGGGTCTGTCTATCTCTGTCTGTCTCTGTCTATCTGTCTGTGTCACAGGTACACACAAATATAATTTTTTTTTTTTTTTTTTTTTTCAACAAGTCGGCCGTCTCCCACCGAGGCAGGGTGACCCAAAAAAGAAAGAAAATCCCCAAAAAGAAAATACTTTCATCATCATTCAACACTTTCACCACACTCACACATTATCACTGTTTTTGCAGAGGTGCTCAGAATACAACAGTCTAGAAGCATACACATATAAAGATACACAACATACCCCTCCAAACTGCCAATATCCCAAAACCCTCCTTTAAAGTGCAGGCATTGTACTTCCTATTTCCAGGACTCAAGTCCGACTATATGAAAATAACCGGTTTCCCTGAATCCCTTCACTAAATATTACCCTGCTCACACTCCAACAGATCGTCAGGTCCCAAGTACCATTCGTCTCCATTCACTCCTATCTAACATGCTCATGCACGCTTGCTGGAAGTCCAAGCCCCTTGCCCACAAAACCTCCTTTACCCCCTCTCTCCAACCCTTTCGAGGACGACCCCTACCCCGCCTTCCTTCCCCTATAGATTTATATGCTTTCCATGTCATTCTACTTTGATCCATTCTCTCTAAATGACCAAACCACCTCAACAACCCCTCTTCTGCCCTCTGACTAATACTTTTATTAACTCCACACCTTTTCCTAATTTCCACACTCCGAATTTTCTGCATAATATTTAAACTACACATTGCCCTTAAACAGGACATCTCCACTGCCTCCAACCGTCTCCTCGCTGCTGCATTTACCACCCAAGCTTCACACCCATACAAGAGTGTTGGTACTACTATACTTTCAATTAATTACCTAGGATAACCTAAAAAATCTGAAGTGTTATACTGTGCTTGTAGATATAATGCATAAGAATACCTGTTGGTTAACAGTTGCTCTTCCTGAGACAGAGACAGACAGAGAGAAGCTGAGAGGCAGAAAAAGACAAGCAGACAGAGACAAAGAGACAGATAATCAGAGACAGAGATACAGCTCATCAAATGTCACCCCTTATCTCTGCACCCTCGCTGGCACCCATCAAATGTCATCCCCCATCTCATCACTGCCTTCCCAGATACTTGTCACTGACACTTGTCTTACACATTGCTTCAAGGGAACTTCTTCCTCCTTATTCTTCTTCTATGCTCCCATGTATCCAAAACATTGCTGGGACCTATAAATACTTGGCATATATTCCTAGACAATATTAAATGACCAAGACAGGTGTAAATGTCTACCTGTCAATGTGTTTGTGACAATTTGAGTACAATTTCAGTACCTAATATTAGTGTCAGAACAAAGACTAGTTATGAAATGACAAGAAGTAAAATAAATTGTAATTATCAGAACATAAAAATTATATAAAATAATATAAAAATATTATGCAGAAAATTCGGTGTGGAAATTAGGAGAAGGTGTGGAGTTAATAGAAGTATTAGTCAGAGGGCTGAAGAGGGGTTGTTGAGGTGGTTTGGTCATTTAGAGAGAATGGATCAAAGTAGGATGACATGGAGAGCATTTAAATTTGTAGGGGAAGGAAGGCGGGGTAGGGGTCATCCTCGAAAAGGTTGGAAGGAAGGGGTAAGGGAGGTTTTGTAGGTGAGGGGCTTGGACTTCCAGCAGGCGTGCATGAGCGCGTTTGATAGGAGTGAATGGAGACGAATGGTATTTGGGACTTGACGATCTGTTGGAGTGTGAGCAGGGTAATATTTAGTGAAGGGATTCAGGGAAACCGTGTATTTTTATATAGTCGGACTTGAGTCCTGGAAATGGGAAGTACAATGCCTGCACTCTAAAGGAGGGGTTCGGGATATTGACGGTTTGGAGGGATATGTTGTGTTCTGAGCACCTCTTGAAAAACAGTGATTATGTGTGAGTGAGGTGAAAGTGTTGAATGATGATGAAAGTATATTCTTTTTGGGGATTTTCTTTCTTTTGGGTCACCCTGCCTCGGTGGGAGATGGCCGATTTGTTTAAAAAAAAAAATGAGAAAAATGGTATATCGGCAACACTTCTGCAAGCAGCAGGACTGGATGTTGCCATCAGGTGAGCATTAAGTACCAACTTTGCAGCCTCATATCTCAGTAAGTACTGACCTTAATTTTTTTATTTTAATTCTGTGACATTTAGAAAAATTTTCTCTTTATTTCAATGAAAAAAAAAAATTTATTTTTCAAAATATTTGGGGCACTGGGTGAGAGAACGTATATATACATTTGGACCATTTAGGGGTTAAAATGTGATTCTCCATGGGAAAGCGGAGGGGAATTTTTCCTCCATGAGCCATGCGTGTTGTAAAAGGCAACTAAATTGCCAGAAGAAAGAAGTTAGTAACCCCTTCTCCTGTATAAATTACTTCTTTTAGGGCCACCATGCCTTGGGATACAACCACTGTGTAAAAAAAAAAACCATATGATTATTGACCTAAGTGATAAAATTTATGGTTATTACCCTCTCTTACCACACCCCCTCAAGAGTGGTGCCTTCATGCTGAGGGACTCTTAAGGAATTGTAATTATCCCCCCCTTCCTTGGATAAAACCTGAATGCCTCCCATTCCCCAGATGCTGTATGACACCCTGTGGATTTAGCACTTCCCCTTAATTAAAACAAATATCAAACTTTCAGGAAATTTCTTGCCTCTGAAAAATAAATGGAAATATTGTACCTTATGAGTCCTGGAAATGGGAAGTACAATGCCTGCACTTTAAAAGAGGGGTTTGGGATATTGGCAGTTTGGAGGGATATGTTGTGTATCTCTATACGTATATGCTTCTAAACTGTTGTATTCTGAGCACCTCTGCAAAAGCAGTGATAATGTGTGAGTGTGGTGAAAGTGTTGAATGATGATGAAAGTATTTTCTTTTTGGGGATTTTCTTTCTTTTTTTTTGGGTCACCCTGCCTCGGTGGGAGACGACCGACTTGTTGAAAAAAAAAAAAAAAATTGTTCTACTTACCAGGTTGTTGTTCTTTCAAGTGAATTTCCATTCATGCTAAAAAAAAATTCAAATTGTAAAATTCATCATAAAACCCAATTTTCAGCCTCAAGAAATAAAGTCATCAGCTTGGGTTTACCAACCTTGCCTGGTGACTCAGTTGGTGAAGAATTACCGCTCTCACCCAGACATCTTCCATGTTCCATCCAGACTCTTTTATCATAACACACTTCAGGCTTGTGCTGACACCAAGGTGAGAACACATATTGTCATATTTATCCTACAGTGAAAGAATATATTTAGAACTTTTTTTTTGTATAACAGAATGTGATCACTAAATCTTTTAAATATTATTTAAAACATTGAAAAAATATTGAACCCCTTCATGCTCCTATTTAATTGTAATGTACGGTTATGATTCAGTTTCAGAAGTTTAAATTAACAGTACAATTTTGATATTCATGGAGGATAAATGTGTTCCTGAGGTCACCATGAATGTCGAATTTATTAATAATGTTGATAAGGAAGGTGGGGATATTTTCAGTTTTGAATTGTTGTGTCAACATCCCTCTGGCAAGACAGTGATGGTGTGAGTGATGGCAAAAGTGTTTTTTTTTTTTTTTTGCGGGGGGGGGGGGGGTCACCCTACTTCGGTGGGAGATGGCGAGTTTGTTAAAAAACATGATCACATGATTGAAAAAACTATGTTTAAATGAATGCTCAGTAAAATTTATGCATGTGACATTAGTTGCTTACAAGTAACATAGCTGTCACGCTTTGGGAATAGTTGTTCACCCACATCCTAGCCTGTGACTAGACTTCCTTCATGACTGCCTGATCAGTCAAGATATTGCCATTACAACCTGGCTGATTTGGCACTGCTGCAAGAATTCATACAGTTTTCTCTTGTAAGGTTTGGCCAACAATACAGACATTTCTTATATCTTCCAGTAGAAGGATGAAGAGTCATGGACTACAGTTGTGCTTACCCATCCCTTAAATAATCTTAAAATCACCTTTTCACCTCCTCTATTTCCACTAGCCTACCCCAGTGTTGATGCTTGTCATGATGGTTCTTTCTCTTTCCCTATCTACTTGAAATTCTGCACTTCACCTCGCCACATTCACAAGGCTCCCATCACTTTTTTTCTTTTTCATACACTGGCTGCCTCCTGCAGACAAAACTGTACTATCACAGTTAAGATGTCCCTCCAAACTGCTACATACTCACCCCTCCTTTAGAGTGCAGGTATTGTACTTCCCACCTCCAAGTGGGGTCACAAAAATCGTTGGCCTCCACTCCAATTTAACATGTTCTCACAATCCTGTTACTCTCGTCCATCTGTAATTTAATTGAATCTACCTTTCGTTTTTATCATTTATCATATCTTGATTTGTTATATTTTCTTATGTTTTATTTTATATATTCTGGAATTGAAAAGAGAGGTACCTGATTATATATACCAGGTACAAGGAAAATATTTGATGGCAATGTCCCTAATCTGCACACTACCATAACTTAATGGGGTGAAACATGCAGAAAGAAGTGTAAAATAAACCCAGTGTAAAACAGGTTTATCATGGGTACAGTTAGAGAACTGTGTGTCAGCATTCATGGTCTGTGACTCTTCATTTTGTTACCAGTATATATGAGAAACATTGCTGGGATGAGGATAAAAGTTTTCAAGAGAAAACTCTACCACTGCCTGCGATAAGTGTGTGATCAGCCAGGTTGTGATGGCTCTGTGGCCTGCTGGCAGCAGCAGCATAGTTGATAAAGAAGTCTGTCCACAGGCCAGGCTGTAAGGGTATAACCTTCACAACTGGTCATTGGTATGTCTTTATCCCTTTGTTTATTTGTGCAGCTTCCAATTCTTTCATTATTTTTCTCTTGTTTTTCATTCATTCTTGTTTATTAGCTCATTTAATTTTTACCCTACTAATCTTGATGACACTATTTTTACATATTTTTTCTTTTCATATTATTTGCTTTGAAATCTTCAAAATCAGCTTTGCTCTGTTGCTTTTTACCTTCTTACATAGTGTGTGTTTTACCAAGATTTTAGATGTAAGTTGAGACCTACATCTAAAATTGACTTATTTCATTAGTATATCTTATTCTTTGAAGAGCTAAATGTAAGGTTATAACTTTCTTGTAATGCAAAAATTCTAGAATTATCCCTCAAAATGTCTTCCTATATAGGCACTGGAATATGGCATCAAGGCTATGTTAGGCAGGGAACATGTTACATTGAACCTCTAGAAAAACCTTAATATAACCACTGGTAAATATCCCTTGACCACCACTTAAACCAAACCTGTCAACTACAGTGAAAAGCAGGATTTTGCACTGAGTTATTTTCTTTGTGGTTTAAGCATTTGCATTATTTGTCCATCAGCACTATGCACTCCAGGGATAGCATCGCTTTCTGCCACACAGTCAACAATTTACAAGATCACACATACATACTGATAAATAAGGGAGGGGGTAAAGCAAGTATTTTGTGCAAGGGACTTGGGCATCCAGCAGGCATGTATGAGCATGTTAGATAGGAGTGAGTGGAGACAAATGGTTTTTGGGACCTGATGAACTGTTAGACTGTGAGCATGGTAACATTTTGTAGAGGGATTCAGGGAAACCGGTTAGCTGGACTTGAGTCCTGGAGGTAGAAAGTACAGTGCCTGCACTCTAAAGGAGAGGTGAGGACATTTGCTGTTTGGAGGACATCTGAACTGTCATATCTGTGCACCTCTGGTAAGACAGTTATAGTGTGACTCATGGTGAAAGTACAGTTCCTGCTCTCTAAAAGAGGGTTTTGGGATATTTGCTGTTTAGAAGATCTCAACTGTCATATCTGCACACCTATGGCAAGACAGTGATTGGTAAATAATGGTGAAAGTGTTTTTTTTCGGGTCACCCCGCCTCGGTGGGAGACAATCAGTGTGTTAAAAGATATTCAGCTTGCATTGCTGCATGTTTATTAACAAGCATTGTTACTTGGCAGATGACTGAGCAGCTCCTGAAATGGAACAAGCTGCCTTCCTCCTCATGTCCTCTTCTCTTCCATGGTGTCATTGGAAACAACCTTCAGGAAGGAGACTCCCCATCTTGGTTCAATGCAGCTGAAGCTTTTCAGGTTATTTTCTGATTTTTTTTTTATATGTACAATACTTAGTTATCACTTAATACAGGATGTGAAACATAGGTCTCATGATATTTATGTACCAAGTTATTTAAACTAATGTTGGTCTGTGAAAGATAAGGTGTACCATAGAATAGGTGAAGAGTAAAAGAAAAAAATGGTGTGTTGTGGCATCCGAGGAAAGAAAGAAATTTATCTTTTTTTTTTAATACACTGGCCGTCTCCCACCAAGAGACCCTTTCATAAAGTTTTTATTCTTTTTGCATTTAGTAATTTATGCAGAAGGGGTTACTAGCCTTTTCCTCCCGGCATTTTAGTCGCCTCTTATGGCACGCATGACTTACAGAGTAAAGATTCTTCTCCATTCCCACTGGAGAAGAAATTTGTCTATATAGGCAAAATAAGGGGAATGTACTAGAGTATAATGCTGCTGTAACTTTTATATGGGTATGAAGCATTATGGCTCAGAAGAAGCTGAAGGCTGTGGAGATGTCATGTTTGAGAGCAATGTGTGGTTTTAATATTATGTAGTAAATTCAGAGCACTGAAAATATAAGATTGTGTGGTTATCAGAGCCACAAATTAGAGAGGTGAGGAGGGGTTGTTGAGTTTGAGCATTTACAGTGGAGCAAAATATGATGACAGAGGGTATATAAATTTTGGATGGAAAGTGAGGGTAAGGGTCATCCCTGGAAAGGTTGGAATGAGAGGAGTAAAGTATTTTTTTCAGTGCTAAGGACTTGAACATCCAGCAGGCTTGTGTGAACATGTTAGATCAGAGTTGAGTGGAGACAAAAGGGTTTTTATGGCTTTACATGCTGTTTTAATGTGAAATATGAAGTGATTCAGGGAACCTGGATAGCTGGACTGCACTTTTGGAAGTAGAAAGTGTAGTGGCTGCACTGTGGAAGAAGGGTAGGGGTGTAGCAGTTGTAGAGTAATCTGATTGTAATGTCAGCACGCTTTTGGAAAGACATTAGCTGAATGAATGATGCATTTACTTTGAGTCACCCTGTCATAGTGAGAAATGGCTATTGAGTGAAAAAAAAAATATTTGAAGTGTATTCAGATAGGTGTAGAATATGTAAATATTAGATTCCTATCAATATTTTTAAACATTTCAACTGATCTGGAAAATTGTGTACTGTATATTACAGAATTATATTCAGTTCACAAAAAAAAGAAAAAAAAACCAGTTATACTTGCTTTTGCTAAAACTACTTGTAGGTGCATATCTGGCTTCATTAATTTTAGAATATCATTTTGTTTCAGGTTGTGCGGTACACAAAGAGCCTTATTATATTTGGTGTGAAGCCACAGGATATAGGCATTATCACTCCATATAGGAAGCAAGTAAGTTGATGCTTTAAATATGTAGCAAAAGAAAACTCAGTTGTGTTTTAGGATAAGTGAGAAGGTTTGTTACTCAAACTTATACTTTTATGAATGGTTAGTTGGTTGGGAAGTACATAGTCACAGAATTGGGACTCTTGAATCCTGACTTTATTAAGATCCAAAATTTAATTAGAATTTGTAAAGGGTTTTTAACCCAGGAGGTTAGTCACCCAGGATAACCCCAGAAAGTCAGTGCATCATTGAGGACTGTCTTATTTCCACTGGGGTCCTTTAACTTTGTCCTCCCCAGGATGTGGTCCACACGAGTCAACTAGTTAATATTTCATATGAAATTTAAAAAAATATTCAGTATGTAGAAACAGCCCCTTCAGTCTAGGAGTAATATCCTGGTTCTTCCTTTTTTATATCTCTACAGCCTCTCTCTACACATGCTCTTTAACCCTTTCACTGTTGAGACCCCTGCTCACAAAGTTGCTCTCAGTGTCGAAGAATTTAAAAAAAAAAATCTTATGAAATGATAGAGAATTTTTTCCCAATAGTAATGACACCAAAAGTACAAAATTTGATGGAAAACTTACAGAATTACGCTCTTGCGAAGTTAGTGGTCTCGGCGATATTTACGCATCAGCAATTTCACCCACTTTGAGCCCTATTTTTGGCCAATTCTATTGTTCCAGTCAACCAAACTCATAGCTATTTCGATAGAACTCCTTTTGTTCTACTGATTAAGTACCAGACACCCCCCATTTACCGATTGCAACTATCATGAGTCGGCCCCTCTTATATTACGCTTGCTTTCCATTTTGAATTTTTTATTTACAAAAAATAGAAGATTTACTGTTATACAGACTACTACATTATTATAAAAATGGTATAAATAATACAAGCACATTTGCAAAAGCATATTAGACCCACCAGTTGACGTGTATTGGACGCAGGACGTGATGTGTTTACTTTGAACATCGGCAAAAATCGAACATTTCCGCTACTTTGAGCTCAATTTCAAGGTACTTTTAGTCCGTAAACCATTCAGAATCATCTTTATTTCTGTAATACATGTGTATCTTCTGTTCTGTCAAATGTAATCAAGAAAACGAGAATACTAATATAAATAATTATGGGGAATCAAATACAAAATGGGAATTGACACAGTTACTTTTTGCTGATGATACTATGCTTATGGGAGATTCTAAAGAAAAGTTGCAAAGGTTGGTGGATGAGTTTGGGAGTGTGTGTAAAGGTAGAAAGTTGAAAGTGAACATAGAAAAGAGTAAGATGATGAGGGTATCAAATGATTTAGATAAAGAAAAATTGGGTATAAAATGTGAGGGGAGGAGTATGGAAGAAGTGAATGTTTTCAGATATTTGGGAGTTGACATGTCAGCATATGGATGCATGAAGGATGAGGTTAACCATAGAATTGATGAAGGAAAAATGGTGAGTGGTGCATTGAGGTATATGTGGAGACAAAAATCATTATCCATGGAGGTAAAGAAGGGAATGTTTGAAAGTATAGTGGCACCAACACTCTTATATGGGTGTGAAGCTTGGGTTGTAAATGCTGCAGCGAGGAGGCGGCTGGAGGCAGTGGAGATGTCCTGTCTAAGGGCAATGTGTGGTGTAAATATTATGCAGAGAATTTGGAGTGTGGAAATTAGGAGAAGGTGTGGAGTTAATAAAAGTATTAGTCAGAGGGCTGAAGAGGGGTTGTTGAGGTGGTTTGGTCATTTAGAGAGAATGGATCGAAGTAGAATGATATGGAGAGCGTATAAATCTGTAGGGGAAGGAAGGCAGGGTAGGGGTCATCCTCGAAAAGGTTGGAGGAAGGGGGTAAAGGAGGTTTTGTGGGTGAGGGGCTTGAACTTCCAGCAAGCATGCGTGAGCGTGTTAGATAGGAGTGAATGGAGACGAATGGTATTTGGGACCTGATGAGCTGTTGGAGTGTGAGCAGGGTAATATTTAGTGAAGGGATTCAGAGAAACCGGTTATTTTTATACAGCTGGACTTGAGTACTGGAAATGGGAAGTATAGTGCCTGCACTCTAAAGGAGGTGTTTGGGATATTGGCAGTTTGGAGGGATATGTTGTGTATCTTTATACATACAGTATATGCTTCTAAGCTGTTGTGTTCTGGGCACCTCTGCAAAAACAGTGATTATGTATGAGTGAGGTGAAAGTGTTGAATGATGATGAAAGTATTTTCTTTTTGGGTCACCCTGCCTCGGTGGGAGACGGCCAACTTGTTAAAAAAAAAAACATAAATACACCGCAAAGTTGGTGTTTTAGACCAAAAACACAATCCGTTTTTTTTTTTTCTCATGCACTGCATGCTGCAGGATTTTTTTATACTGCACACACTGACCACTCAGACCCTTTTTCTCATATGTAGACCTACCAGCTTTCTCCCGCAAGGTTGAAAACCACTAGAATTTTGGTGTAGTATTACTTGACCAACACTAGCTTGCAAGCCGTAATATTACGGGACTGACAGTGAAAGGGTTAATGTCTTGAGTATTTTGTATGTCATGATCATTTCTTCCCTGTTTCTCTTCTCTTGCTGTGTTGTTAGCTTGAGTTCCTCAAATGTCTCTTTATATTGAAATTGCCACATTATATTTTATGGTTCCTGTTAAATCTTAATACAGTGGACCCCTGCTTTACGATCAGCTCCCACTGCGGCCAATTATGTAAGTGTATTTATGTAAGTGCGTTTGTACATGTATGTTTGGGGGTCTGAAATGGACTAATCTAATTCACAATATTCCTTATGGGAACAAATTCGTTCAGTAATGGCACCTGAACATACTTCTGGAATGAAATAATATCGTAAGCCGGGGGTCCACTGTATATGCAGATTTTATTAGAATGATTTTATTGTATTTACTAATGTTTATTAACAATTTGAGGGTCTGTGCTGTAGTTCTACAGCTCTGAAGCCAGGGTCAGTACCATAGTTCTATGCCATGAGCTCAGCTCACTCAGATAAGCTGTGAGCAGTAAATTTGGGTCTAGATATGAGAGAATGCATTTTTGTGGTAAGTGTGTACCTTATAAAAAGAATCCTGCAGCATGCAGTGCATAACGAGGAAAAAAACTGCGACTGTTTTTTGGATTAAAACAGCAACTTTGTGGTATATTTTCGTATAGTTTTATGGTTGTATTCACAGTTTCTTGGTCTCAGTTGATAGAATGGTAAATATATTACAGAAATAGAGATGATTTTGATGGGTTTTTGAACTGAAAAAAGCTTGAAATTAAGTTCAAAGTAGTATAAAATATCTATCTCCATCTGTCTGTCTGTATCTATCTGTCTGTATGTATCTGTCTCTGTATCTTTCTCTGTCTATCTCTGTCTCTATCTCACAGGTACACATAAATACAACTATACATAATGTAAATTACCTAGAATAACCCCAAAAATCCAGACAAATTGCTATACTGTGCTTGTAGATATAATGCATAATAAGCATAACTGGCAAGTAATACGCATTTTCACTTGTTCAGGAATCAGACGTGACTACTCTGCATCGTGTGTACTACCTGTTGGTTCATGAGTCGCTCTCTCTGAGACAGAGAGAGAGAGAGAGACAGGCAGAGAGACAAGCAGACAGAGACAGAAAGACAGATAAGCAGAGACAGAGATAAACAGAGAGCTGGACAGACATACTCAAACAGATATGTTTGTGTGACAGTAAAAACAAATAAAGCCAAGGCAGTGCATGATCATCAAATGTCACTCCACTACTGCACTGTCAGCATTGGAGTGACATTTATCTTACACCATGCTTCAAGGGGTTTCATATATACTCCTGCATGTCCAAAACATTGCTGGGACCTATAAATACTGTGTATATATTTCTAGATCACTTTCTAGTTGTAGCTACACTGAGAGTAAAAGGTAGATGGGATACAAGGAGAATAGAAGCATCAGGGAAGAGAGAGGTGAAGGTTTATAAACTAAAAGAGGAGGCAGTTAGGGTAAGATATAAACAGCTATTGGAGGATAGATGGGCTAATGAGAGCATAGGCAATGGGGTCGAAGAGGTATGGGGTAGGTTTAAAAATGTAGTGTTAGAGTGTTCAGCAGAAGTTTGTGGTTACAGGAAAGTGGGTGCAGGAGGGAAGAGGAGCGATTGGTGGAATGATGATGTAAAGAGAGTAGTAAGGGAGAAAAAGTTAGCATATGAGAAGTTTTTACAAAGTAGAAGTGATGCAAGGAGGGAAGAGTATATGGAGAAAAAGAGAGAAGTTAAGAGAGTGGTGAAGCAATGTAAAAAGAGAGCAAATGAGAGAGTGGGTGAGATGTTATCAACAAATTTTGTTGAAAATAAGAAAAAGTTTTGGAGTGAGATTAACAAGTTAAGAAAGCCTAGAGAACAAATGGATTTGTCAGTTAAAAATAGGAGAGGAGAGTTATTAAATGGAGAGTTAGAGGTATTGGGAAGATGGAAGGAATATTTTGAGGAATTGTTAAATGTTGATGAAGATAGGGAAGCTGTGATTTTCGTGTATAGGGCAAGGAGGAATAACATCTTGTAGGAGTGAGGAGAGCCAGTTGTGAGTGTGGGGAAAGTTCGTGAGGCAGTAGGTAAAATGAAAGGGGGTAAGGCAGCCGGGATTGATGGGATAAAGATAGAAATGTTAAAAGCAGGTGGGGATATAGTTTTGGAGTGGTTGGTGCAATTATTTAATAAATGTATGGAAGAGGGTAAGGTACCTAGGGATTGGCAGAGAGCATGCATAGTTCCTTTGTATAAAGGCAAAGGGGGTAAAAGAGAGTGCAAAAATTATAGGGGGTAAGTCTGTTGAGTGTACCTGGTAAAGTGTATGGTAGAGTTATAATTGAAAGAATTAAGAGTAAGACGGAGAATAGGATAGCAGATGAACAAGGAGGCTTTAGGAAAGGTAGGGGGTGTGTGGACCAGGTGTTTACAGTGAAACATATAAGTGAACAGTATTTAGATAAGGCTAAAGAGGTCTTTGTGGCATTTATGGATTTGGAAAAGGCGTATGACAGGGTGGATAGGGGGGCAATGTGGCAGATGTTGCAAGTGTATGGTGTAGGAGGTAGGTTACTGAAAGCAGTGAAGAGTTTTTTACGAGGATAGTGAGGCTCAAGTTAGACTATGTAGGAAAGAGGGAAATTTTTTCCCAGTAAAAGTAGGCCTTAGACAAGGATGTGTGATGTCACCGTGGTTGTTTAATATATTTATAGATGGGGTTGTAAGAGAAGTAAATGCGAGGGTCTTGGCAAGAGGCGTGGAGTTAAAAGATAAAGAATCACACACAAAGTGGGAGTTGTCACAGCTGCTCTTTGCTGATGACACTGTGCTCTTGGGAGATTCTGAAGAGAAGTTGCAGAGATTGGTGGATGAATTTGGTAGGGTGTGCAAAAGAAGAAAATTAAAGGTGAATACAGGAAAGAGTAAGGTTATGAGGATAACAAAAAGATTAGGTGATGAAAGATTGAATATCAGATTGGAGGGAGAGAGTATGGAGGAGGTGAACGTATTCAGATATTTGGGAGTGGACGTGTCAGCGGATGGGTCTATGAAAGATGAGGTGAATCATAGAATTGATGAGGGAAAAAGAGTGAGTGGTGCACTTAGGAGTCTGTGGAGACAAAGAACTTTGTCCTTGGAGGCAAAGAGGGGAATGTATGAGAGTATAGTTTTACCAACGCTCTTATATGGGTGTGAAGCGTGGGTGATGAATGTTGCAGCGAGGAGAAGGCTGGAGGCAGTGGAGATGTCATGTCTGAGGGCAATGTGTGGTGTGAATATAATGCAGAGAATTCGTAGTTTGGAAGTTAGGAGGAGGTGCGGGATTACCAAAACTGTTGTCCAGAGGGCTGAGGAAGGGTTGTTGAGGTGGTTCGGACATGTAGAGAGAATGGAGCGAAACAGAATGACTTCAAGAGTGTATCAGTCTGTAGTGGAAGGAAGGCGGGGTAGGGTCGGCCTAGGAAGGGTTGGAGGGAGGGGGTAAAGGAGGTTTTGTGTGCGAGGGGCTTGGACTTCCAGCAGGCATGCGTGAGCGTGTTTGATAGGAGTGAATGGAGACAAATGGTTTTTAATACTTGACGTGCTGTTGGAGTGTGAGCAAAGTAACATTTATGAAGGGATTCAGGGAAACCGGCAGGCCGGACTTGAGTCCTGGAGATGGGAAGTACAGTGCCTGCACTCTGAAGGAGGGGTGTTAATGTTGCAGTTTAAAAACTGTAGTGTAAAGCACCCTTCTGGCAAGACAGTGATGGAGTGAATGATGGTGAAAGTTTTTCTTTTTCGGGCCACCCTGCCTTGGTGGGAATCGGCCGGTGTGATAATAATAAAATAAAAAAATAATGAACAAGGAGGCTTTAGGAAAGGTAGGGGGTGTGTGGACCAGGTGTTTACAGTGAAACATATAAGTGAACAGTATTTAGATAAGGCTAAAGAGGTCTTTGTGGCATTTATGGATTTGGAAAAGGCGTATGACAGGGTGGATAGGGGGGCAATGTGGCAGATGTTGCAAGTGTATGGTGTAGGAGGTAGGTTACTGAAAGCAGTGAAGAGTTTTTACGAGGATAGTGAGGCTCAAGTTAGAGTATGTAGGAAAGAGGGAAATTTTTTCCCAGTAAAAGTAGGCCTTAGACAAGGATGTGTGATGTCACCGTGGTTGTTTAATATATTTATAGATGGGGTTGTAAGAGAAGTAAATGCGAGGGTCTTGGCAAGAGGCGTGGAGTTAAAAGATAAAGAATCACACACAAAGTGGGAGTTGTCACAGCTGCTCTTTGCTGATGACACTGTGCTCTTGGGAGATTCTGAAGAGAAGTTGCAGAGATTGGTGGATGAATTTGGTAGGGTGTGCAAAAGAAGAAAATTAAAGGTGAATACAGGAAAGAGTAAGGTTATGAGGATAACAAAAAGATTAGGTGATGAAAGATTGAATATCAGATTGGAAGGAGAGAGTATGGAGGAGGTGAACGTATTCAGATATTTGGGAGTGGACGTGTCAGCGGATGGGTCTATGAAAGATGAGGTGAATCATAGAATTGATGAGGGAAAAAGAGTGAGTGGTGCACTTAGGAGTCTGTGGAGACAAAGAACTTTGTCCTTGGAGGCAAAGAGGGGAATGTATGAGAGTATAGTTTTACCAACGCTCTTATATGGGTGTGAAGCGTGGGTGATGAATGTTGCAGCGAGGAGAAGGCTGGAGGCAGTGGAGATGTCATGTCTGAGGGCAATGTGTGGTGTGAATATAATGCAGAGAATTCGTAGTTTGGAAGTTAGGAGGAGGTGCGGGATTACCAAAACTGTTGTCCAGAGGGCTGAGGAAGGGTTGTTGAGGTGGTTCGGACATGTAGAGAGAATGGAGCGAAACAGAATGACTTCAAGAGTGTATCAGTCTGTAGTGGAAGGAAGGCGGGGTAGGGGTCGGCCTAGGAAGGGTTGGAGGGAGGGGGTAAAGGAGGTTTTGTGTGCGAGGGGCTTGGACTTCCAGCAGGCATGCGTGAGCGTGTTTGATAGGAGTGAATGGAGACAAATGGTTTTTAATACTTGACGTGCTGTTGGAGTGTGAGCAAAGTAACATTTATGAAGGGATTCAGGGAAACCGGCAGGCCGGACTTGAGTCCTGGAGATGGGAAGTACAGTGCCTGCACTCTGAAGGAGGGGTGTTAATGTTGCAGTTTAAAAACTGTAGTGTAAAGCACCCTTCTGGCAAGACAGTGATGGAGTGAATGATGGTGAAAGTTTTTCTTTTTCGGGCCACCCTGCCTTGGTGGGAATCGGCTGGTGTGATAATAAAAAAAATAAAAATATTTCTAGACTAAGGTAGGTGAAAATGTTCACCTGTCGCTGTGTTGGTGGCTATTTGATTACTATTTCAGTACCTAATATTAGTGTCAGAACAAAGATTGGCTATGAAATCACAAGAACTACTACAAATTGTAATTATCAGAACATAAAATTTATATTAATAAAAATAAGAAAATGAGAAAAAAAGGTACATCAGCAACACTTCTGCAAGCGGCAGCACTTCATGTTGCCGTCAGGTGAACGACATGCATCATCTTTGCGGCCTTATATCTCCAAAAGTACTGACTCTAAAAAATTTTTTTTAGGTTATTACATGTAAAAAATGCCCTCCTTTTTTTTTTCCAAAATATTTGGAGCGCTGGGCGAGAGAACATAGATCTACATTTGGACAATAAAGTGGTTAAATGTTAAGTAATATATGCATGAGAAGGCAAAATCTTGTGTTTGACATCCTGTAATTTATTGTTTAATAAAAATCCTCTAATGACAAGGTAATATTCATCACAGTTTTCATTTAGCCCTTCAGTAATAATCTTGTTTAAATTATTAATTTAGTATGGTTAAATTACTGTTGTGACTCACATAATTTTTTACTTAATAGGTAGAAAAAATTCGAAAGTTGTTAACAACTTTTGGAATCATAGAGAATGTGAAGGTTGGATGTGTGGAAGAGTTTCAGGGCCAAGAGAGAAGTGTCATCATCATCTCTACCGTAAGGTCGTCTACAGATTTAATAGAGGTAATATGAATGTGTTATATTACCTAATGAATACATTTCTTTTTATACCACATCAACTATTTCCCACCATCCCTCATTTAGTAGCTGTTTTGTCAAAAATGCATGAACATCAGACTTCAGATGGCCCTCCAAACAAACAACATCCCAATAGCATCCCCACCCATACTTCAGAGTATGCTTACTATACTTCCCATCTCCAGAACTCTTTTGTCCAATAGGCAGGATTATACAGTGGAACCTCAGTTTTCGTATGCTCTAGTTTTCGTAGGATTTGATTTTTGATGACTTTTTTCGTCTAAATTTTGTCCCAGTTTTCGTACATCTGCTTGGTTTTCGTAGAGTTGACAATGGCCTGTACCAAATGTGTCCGCCTGCCCATGCCCGCACAAAGCATCCCACGCGTTCTGACTCGGTCTGGCATTGTTTCTCATTGAGTGAACATTATCCCACACGTTTGGATAACATTTCGTAATGATCCATTGTTTTTTGTGCTTGTTTATTGAGTGCAACTGCTAAATAAGCCACCATGGGGCCAAAGAAAGTTCCGAGTGCCAGCCCTTTGATAAAGAAGGTAAGAAACATAATAGAATTCAAGAAAAAACTCGTAGCAAAGTACAAAAGTGATGTACACGTGGCCAATCTTGCCAGGATGTATGGGAAGTCCGCATCAATGATCAGTTCCATCCTGGCGAAGAAAAAAGAAATCAAGGAAGCTGATTTTGCGAGAGGAGTAAATGTGCTAATCAAACAGAGATCGCAAACAATCGAAGATGTTGAGAAGTTGTTGTTGGTGTGAATCAACGAAAAACAGTGGGAGATAGTGTTTCAGAGGCGATAATTTGCGAAAAGGCAGGCAGTTGCATGCAGATCTCGCAAAGAAAATGTCTGGAATGAGTGCTGCTGTTAGTGAATTTAAGGCCAGCAAAGGCTGGTTCGACAAATTCAAGAAGAGAACTGGCATACACAGTGTGGTAAGGCAGGGTGAGGCTGCAAATTTGGACAAATGTAGTGCCGAAGAATTTGTTGATGGATTCAAGGAGTACGTAGAGTCTGAAGGATTCCTCCCCCAACAAGTCTTCACTTGTGATGAAATAGGCCTCTTTTGGAAGAAAATGCCAAAGAGGACCTACATCATGCAGGAGGAAAAGGCACTGCCAGGATAAAAGCCTATGAAGGATAGGCTAACTCTTTTGTTCTATGGTAATGCTAGTGGGGATTTCAAAGTGAAGCCTTTACTGGTGTATCACTCTGAAAATCCTTGAGTGTTCAAGGAAAACAATGTCATCAAGAGTAAATTCTGTGTGATGTGGAAGGTTAACAATAAGGCATGGGTCGCGAGGCAAATTTTCATTGAGTGGGTCACTAAAGCATTTGGCCCGAGTGTGAAGAAATACCTCCTGGAAAATAAATTGCCACTAAAGTACCTCCTGGTAACAGACAATGCTCCTGCTCATCCTCCAGGCTTGGAGGAGTTTAGTTCATCACAGTGAAGTTCTTGCCCCCTAATACCACTCCTCTCATCCAGCCCATGTACCAGTAGGTCATTCCAAACTTCAAAAAACTCTACACCAAAGCAGTGTTTCAAAGGGGCTTTGAAGTGACGTCAGACACTGAATTGACCCTAAGAGACCTATGAAGGAATTGCTTCAATATCCTCAATTGCTTAAGCAATTGAAGGAGTGACTTCCAGGATGATGAACTATGCTTGGAGAGAAACGTGGCTGGAATGTGTCCTCGAGAAGGATTTTGAAGGGTTTGAGGCTGACTAATGGCCCTACGCATATTGTGGAATCTATTGTGTCTTTTGGGAAGCCCATGGGGTTGGATGTGAGTGGCCAGGATGTGGAAGAGTTGGTGGACGACCACAGGGAAGAGCTGACCACTGAAGAACTGCAGGACCTTCAACTGGAAGAGCAACAGACTGCAGCTGAGGAAATTGCTTCAGAGGAGGAAGAGAGAGGGAGGAATGTGCCTTCTTCAGTGATTAAGGACATGTGTGCAAAGTGGAATGAGTTGCAAAGTTTTGTGGAGATATATCACCCTAACAAAGCTGTTGCAAGCCATGTCTGCAACATGTTCAATGACAATGCCTTGTCCCATTTTAGGCAAATCTTAGAGACGCCAGAAACAGACCTCTCTGGACAGATTTTTTGTGCGACAGGAGTCCAGTGAGTCTCAAGCTGGTCCTAGTGCCAGTAAAAGACAAAGAAGGGAAGTAACCCCAGATAGGGCCTTGATACCTGAAGTCCTTATAGATGGGGATTCCCCTTTCAAGCAATAACCTCTCCTGCTCACCGTCTTCCATACGCCAACAAGAGTCTTCAGTAAAGGTAAAAGTGATGTTAAATGTTCATTTGTCCATTTCATTAGTCATTCATATTTATTTCTCATTGTTTTCTGTATGTAAAACTATAGCTATTCTCTATAAAATGTATTTTTTGTTAATATTTTTGGGTGTCTGGAACAGACTAATTGGATTTACATTACTGTATTTCTTATGGGAAATACAGTGGACCCCCGGTTAACGATATTTTTTCACTCCAGAAGTATGTTCAGGTGCCAGTACTGACCGAATTTGTTCCCATAAGAAATATTGTGAAGTAGATTAGTCCATTTCAGACCCCCAAACATACACGTACAAACGCACATACATAAATACACTTACATAATTGGTCGCATTCGGAGGTAATCGTTATGCGGGGGTCCACTGTATTGCTTCAGTTTTTGTACAATTCAGTTTTCGTCAGACTTTCTGGAACAGATTAATCACGATAACTGAGGTTCCACTGTACTGGAAAGCTGAATCAAGGATTTTGTCTTGCCAGTGCACCATATAAGATTTCACTCCTCTCCACAAAAATAAAGCATTTTATTCAAAATGTATGTACCACTCTTTGATGAAATAGATTCTTTTGCAGGGGAAGGGGGAGAAATAAAAAGTTGCTCTATAGTACAGCTTAACCTTTTTTGTTTTTATGTAAAATAAGAAACAATTGTTTTAGGTAGTAGGTTGGTAGACAGCAACAGCCCAGGGAGGTACTACCGTCCTGCCAAGTGAGTGTAAAACGAAAGCCTGTAATTGTCCAAGATTTCAGGTACGTCTTGCTACTTCTACTTACACTTAGGTCACACTACACATACATGTACATACAAGCATACATATACACACCCCTCTGGGTTTTCTTCTATTTTCTTTCTAGTTCTTATTCTTGTTTATTTCCTCTTATCTCCATGGGGAAGTGGAACAGAATTCTTCCTCCGTAAGCCATGCGTATTGTAAGAGGCGACTAAAATGCCGGGAGCAAGGGGCTAGTAACCTCTTCTCCTGTATATATTACTAAATGTAAAAGGAGAAACTTTCGTTTTCCTTTTGGGTCACCCCGCCTCAGTGGGATACGGCCGGTGTGTTGAAAGAAAGAAAGAAGAAGAAACAATCGTACAGTATATCATTTTGGTATGTGGTTTATCGTGTTTCAATGTACTTAATCACTACCTAGTGCCATGAATTTCACAATAAATTAGCTGTCTCCCACCAAGGCAGGGTGACTCAAAAAAGAAACTCCTTTGCCATCATTCAGACTATCACTGTCTTACCAGAGGCACGCAGATAAAACAGTAATAAAAGAATATGAAAATAAAAGAATTTACCTTGTTCTATCACTTGTACAGTAGGGCCCCACTTGTACGGCAGGTTAGGTTCCAGGCCACCACTGGAAAGTGGACATTCCCAGTAAGCAGAACGCCATTTTTTCACTTATAAATGCATACAAATGCCAGATAATGAGTTTGCACTAACATATATTAAGTGGCCCAATGCAATAAAATGCACATACAGTACTCTCATTACTTACCTTAAAATATGTGTAGTCTTAATGTAGGGCGAATAGTATTTATTTGTAGGAAGTCAGGTATAGGCATCTGGTGAGTGTAGGTAGACAGGAAGCCCACTGGCTCCCATTCCTAACATAATACAGCCTCTCCTCACTTAGCAACAGAGTTGCGTTCCTAAGACCACGTTGGTAAACAAATTCATCATTAAGCAAGGAGCATGCTATAATCATAGTGGGTTTGTGTCAACCATCTTTGATGTTGTTTTAATGTCACCTTTAAACTATAACATTTTTAGTATATTTTTAAATGTTTATACAGTAGTGGACCTCTAGGCTCTAAATTCTGCCAATCCATAAAATCATCTTATTTATCAGTATTAACCAAATCTGCCAAAACATCTGCTAATTAGTCTTATCATGTGACCTCCTGGCTTTTAATTATGCCATTCCATAAAATATTACCACCTGCACCATTACTTCTAAGGTAGATTTTGTGTGCAAAAGATTGTAAAACAGCTAACCACTATTCCTTGTCTAGTTTTAAGTATAGTTACTATGTACTATTATCTTATCTAGTTTTAATTAGTTTTAATAGTAGTAGGTTGGTAGACAGCAACCGCCCAGGGAGGTACTACCGTCCTGCTAAGTGAGTGTAAAACGAAAACCTGTAATTGTTTTACATGATGGTAGGATTGCTGGTGTCTTTTGTCTGTCTCATAAATATGCAAGATTTCAGGTACGTCTTGCTACTTCTACTTACACTTAGGTCACACTACACATACATGTACATGTTTATTTATACACACACATCTGAGTTTTCTTTGATTTTATCTTAATAGTTCTTGGTCTTATTACTTTTCCTTTTATATCCATGGGGAAGTGGAATAAGAATCTTTCCTCCGTAAGCCATGTGTGTTGTAAAAGTCAACTAAAATGCCGGGAACAATGGGCTAGTAACCCCTTTTCCTGTAATAATTACTAAAAAGAATAAGAAGAAGAAAATTGTCAAAGTGGGAAGTCTGAATGTGCGTGGATGTTGTGCAAATGATAAGAAAGAGATGATTGTGGATGTTATGAATGAGAAGAAGCTGGATGTCCTGGCTTTAAGTGAAACAAAGCTGAAGGGGGTAGGAGAGTTTCAGTGGAGAGGAATAAATGGGATTAGGTCAG